TATGCCAAATTTTTCTTTGTATTGATGCAAGTCGTTTCTAATGGGAGCACAACGGCATTAAAATTAAACATATTTTCCACGTCTTGGCTTCGTTTAAGTAACTTAGACATCCATTAAACACTCCAAATGCGTTGTCATATTCTGAAAGATATGATCCTATACTTCACAAGCATCAATTTCCATGTACAGCAGTAACTTGAACATATTTTTCACGTCTTAGCCTCGTTTAAGTAACTTAAACATCGATTAAGTGTTGTCAGATTCTGAAAGATATGATCACAAGCATCAAAAATCATATCCATATTTTCATCTATTAAAGCATCCATTTTTGCGCTGCTGTTATCATCGTACCGTGTACTATATAACTAATGTGGTTCATTCTACGTAATAGAGACAAATCAATCCAAACTTCATTCATTAGCTTTTTCAATCCGTCTTCTTCTACAAAAGAAAAAGGAAGCACGTAGCAATGCAGTCACCGACAACAACCTCAAACTCGGTCGTGTCGGAATTTGAAGGGACACTGCTCAAAAAACCCGGATTCATTCTCTTACTGCATGCTCGTCGCCTACGAAGCATCTGGTCTCATCCGGTTCACCATCATGTTGTTTCTCTGGCCCATCATCGCACTCCTTAACGTTTCCGGCTACGAGAACGCCGCTCTCAAGCTCATGATCTTTGTAGCGATGGCAGGTGTCCGCGAATCGGAGATCGAGCTTGTGTCTAGAGCCGTCCTGCTTAGGTTCTACATGGATGACTTAAGCATGGACACGTGGAAAATTTTCAGCTCCTGTAAGAAGAAGGTCGTGGTGACTAGGATGCCTAGAGTTATGGTGGAGAGGTTCGCTAAGAAGCATCTTGGAACCGATGAGGTCATCGGTACGGAGATTTCGTGAACCGGTTTGGTTTTTTCACCGGTTTGATACGTGAACCAATATCGATCAATCTGTTTTGAACCGTGTCTCTAACATGTTTGTTGATCGGAGGCCCCTCATCTAGGTCTTGGAAGACCGACCAAATAGCATACAACTTTCTTATCGTTATGCGAGGTACTATATATTGCACAAACATTGTTTAGGAATCTTGCAACTTTTAGGAAGTCATGTGCATCAATTGTTATATATAACAGAGACGTGAATTATTAATTAATTGTTATATATGTTTAGGAGCATATTTATGCACCGGTCCACTCGGACCAAAGTGACCAACATTTTGAGGTGCAGCCTCCAAAGCCAGTGATCTTCTACGACGGACGCTTCGTGAAGCGACCAAAGCCAGTCGTGGCTCTCCTAACCCTCCTCTGGATCCCGTTTGGAATCATTGTCGCCGCCATCCGGATGTCACTTATCTTCCTCCTCCCATTACGGGCCATGTCCTATGTCAACCCAATATTAGGCATCCAAGTCACCGCCAAAGGAAAGCCTCCTCAGCCACCGACGGCTAGAGACTCCAGCCTACTCTTTGTTGGTAATCATAGAACCCTACTTGACGGGTTTGCGCTATCTCATGCTCTCGGACGCACCATGCCATCCATTACATTCACACGTGCATGGTTTCCAAGAATATTATCTGCAGTTCCAATAGTGAGGATAACAAGAAAGTCTCGAAATATCGACGCGGAGATAATAAAGCAAGCTCTGTCTGAAGGAGATTTAACGATATATCCCGAAGGAGTAGTCCTTCAGGAATCGTTCTTGCTAAGATTCAGCGCGCTTTTCGCTGAGTTAGCCGATGGAATCGTGCCCCCTTTGCTATAAATGATGGCAGTGGGTTGTTCCGTGCCACCGCAAGAAGCTCTAATGGTCTGGATTTGATTTTCGAGTTCATGAACCCAAGAATCGTGTTCGAGATTACGTTCTTGAAGCAGCTTCCCATTGAGGACACATGTTCGTCCGGGAAAAGTCCGTATGATGTGGCGAACCATGTTCAGAGAATCATTGCGGATACGTTAGGGTTCGAGTGCACTAACTTGACGAAGAAGGATAAGTACAAGTATCTTACGTAAAACCAAAATTGTGACGATCTCAGGAATAAGCTAAGCAGATGATTCCTAAATAAGTTATAACCCCAAGAACTAGATATCATTACGAATAAAAAACATGTAGTTTTGCTATTATAAACTTATAATTAAGAAACTAGAACATTTCATTTTTATTTTAATATGCATTTGCCAAATGTTGTAACTTATACGACTACTGTGCATTGTATACTTAGGTCCCTCGTGAATTATACAATTACTGTTGTGATTCTTTCCGATGAGTAATGCCTCATGCCTGTCACTTAACTTAGTTTCAAACTTAAATGACTCTCCAGTGATGGGAAAAGGTCATAAGTCAAACTAATAAACAATTTTTTTTTTTTTTTTTTTTTTTTTTTTTTTTTTTTTGTAATTTCACATTTTCTCGAAGTTTATTGATTTGAGTGATTTGGGCTTGTTTATAGGTTTTTGGTATCTTTTGGTTGTTTCAATGGTTTAATATTTGCACTTAAGTTCTTATTGCTCTTACTTTAACAAAAAAAAAAGTTCTTATTGCTCTTAGGTTTCCCAAAATTTTAAATAAATGAAAGTTTTCCAAAATAAAATAAAATACTAATAACGTGGCAAAAACATTTGAGCAAACAATGTTTTGGTCAACAATGATCACAAAAAGCGAAACAAAACTCGTTATTGTAGGATATGAAGCGACTATTTATCACGTTTCTACAAACGATGTGCCCTGCATCCGTCTTGGATCCACTGTCCGGAGAAATTCCGAAAACAAATCTTGGTAAATTAATTTACCCCTGATTCCATTTCTCTTTGTATTGATACAACTCTCTAAGAGAGCACAGTAGCATTATATTGAAGTAATTAGTAACTTCATTTGATCATATGTACGTGTTGATCATTTCCATGTCTTAGCTTCATTTTACTAACTTAAACACCGATTAAAATCTCCCAAATGTGTTGTAAGATTCTGAAAGCATATGATCATAAGCTTAAAATTAATCGACGACAGCTAGATTTCACATGCTAAAAGAAAAACAAAGAAAATAGACGTACAATTCTCAAAAAGTAAATCAGTGGAATACTGATGGGCAAAATTTATATGAACATTTCCAATTATTTCTACTAGTTTTTTAGTTTTTATATAATTTTTCTTAAATAATTGTATTTTACGTAGCAGATTGGATGTCCATACTATAACCGAAATCCTACTATTTTTTGATGTGGATGTGAGTTAAAAGGTGGTAACAAAAGGTGATCACAGATACAAGGTATCTATGGAATCGCGAGTGCCCTTCTCTGTGCCATGTGGTATGCTCGAGGTAACGTTCTTGGACTAGCTTGTGTTCATCCAGGGAAAGTCAAAGTCCATTGATGTGGCGAACCATGTTCAGAGAATCCTGGCGGATACTTTAGGGTTTGATTCTCTCACTTGAGACCAAAAGTGCGCCCATTCGTCGCTTTTTAGGAATAAGCTAAAAATGGGAATATGCTAAGAATATGGTCCCCACCCACTTTATGAGTTAATTTCCCCGTTATTTTAAATATGCACTTGCAAATAATTCAAAAAGGATGATGGTCCCTCATTGAATCGTGAATGTTAGTCGTATTAACGGTTTTGTTACCAGCTCTATGTTATCATTTTCAACATTTGTGGTCGATTAATATTATTTAAACTATTATTCACAAAGTCTTCGAACGTAACTCCCGAACTAGCCAATCAACGACACTTCGACGACTTGTCTATAACTATTTAAAAGTTAAAACCTTGACTTACTGAACCTCAGAATTTTGGTTGGTCCGAATAAAAGTTATATGGTGTGTATTGTCTTTTGTTTGAGACTATTTTGAATTGAAATTTTTGTTATATGAATTACATTTTGAACCAGCCCAAATAGCAGAAAACTCATATTTAATATAAAGTTTTCCTAAATTTTCCTTACAATATATACCAAAACTTAATATAATATAAACAATTAGCAATACAAGTAACAACTTATATAATACAATAAAATATTACACCTCAAATACTATATCCACGATCGTAGTTGTTATGGAAGATTAATAAGTTGAATATCAGTAAGTTTGCATGTGACATCTTGCATCTCTAGTTAATGCAATTGGCGTCTACTAACCGTCTCATTAAAGCAACATGAGGATGAGGTGTACTGTATATATTAGCAGCTAGGTATTTGATTGACTACATACATAACATGTATATATAATAATCAAAGTAAAACTATTGTACAATAATTAACAAAAACTATATATATGGCGGGTCGTTGCATTAACTATATATGAAAGTCCATCCAAGCCTTTATGTAAATTAAAAGTAACTCTTGGTCAAATTTTTAATCTCCATATATCCCCCCCCAAAATAAAATCTCAAGATACAAACACAAATGGTGATGGAGACATCGGGAACGATGTCATATTCGGTGGTATCAGAGTTCGAAGGAACACTACTGAAGAGCGATGATCCATTCTCTTACTTCATGCTCCTTGCCTTTGACGCATCCGGTCTGATTCGTTTCGCCATCTTGCTGTTTCTCTGGCCCGTCATCAAACTCCTTGGCGTTTTAAGCTTCAAAAACGCCGCTCTCAGGCTCATGATCTTCGTAGCCACGGCTGGTTTACGCGAACAAGAGATCGAATCGGTGGCTAGAACCGTCCTGCCAAAGTTCTACATGGACGACGTCAGCATGGACACGTGGAGGGTTTTCAGCTCGTGCAAGAAGAGGGTCGTGGTGACGAGAATGCCTCGTGTTATGGTGGAGAGGTTCGCGAAGGAGTATTTTAGAGCCGATGAGGTCATCGGTACGGAGCTGAACGTGAACCGGTTTGGTTTTGTCACCGGTTTGATACGTGAAGCCGATATCGATCAATCTGCTTTGAACCGTGTCGCTGAAGTATTTGTCGACCGGATGCCTCATTTAGGTCTTGGCAAAGCCTCCTTGACGGCTTCTACGACTTTCTTGTCGTTATGTGAGGTAACGGACATAACGGTACAAATAAATAATAATTTTCAAATGGTGTTTTTTCATCTCTTTTTGTTAAAGTGTTTTTTTCATCTCAACAACACTAACTCAACCCTAGTCTCTACTCTCTAGGTGCATGTATTTAAAGTATTTTTTGTTTTTGGTAAAAAAAGTAAAGTTTGTTTTAATAACATGGAAACATCACTTATATAGTTATCTTTACTTGCTCATCTACTGATCACTGTTTGTTGTACTTTACAAATAAAACAGGTGTATGCACCGGTTTCGGAGAAGAGCAACCACCATAATCAACAAAGTGAGCTGCGGCTGAATCCGGTCGTCTTTCACGATGGACGCCTTGTGAAGCGGCCAACACCAGCCATAGCTCTCCTCATCCTCATCTGGTTCCCATTTGGAATTGTTCTTTCTGTGATCCGGATCTTTTGGGGGACCGTCCTCCCATGGGGGTTCAAATCTTACGCCATGAGAATACTTGGCGGCCAAATCATCGTCAAAGGAAAGCCTCCGCAGCCACGAGAGGCCGGAAAGTCAGGCGTTCTCTTTGTATGTAATCATAGAAGCCTAGTGGATCCACTTCTATTATCTACCGTATTGAAACGCAGCGTCCCGGCCATTGTATACTCTCTTTCGAGGCTTGCCAAAATCTTCTGTCCAATTTCTATCGTGCGAATACAAAGAATCCGAGATGTCGACGCCAAGACCATCAAGCTCGAGCTGTCCAAAGGAGATCTAGTGGTTTGTCCCGAGGGAACAACTTGTCGTACACCGTTTTTGGTGAGATTTAGCGCACTTTTCGCGGAGTTAACGGACACGATCGTGCCTGTGGCGGTAAACTGTAGAGCTGGATTTTTCCACCCGAACACCGTGAGAGGCTGGAACGCTCTGGACATTGTATTCTTCTTCATGAATCCGAGACCGTGTTATGAGATTACGTTCTTGAACCAGCTTCCGAAGGAGGCTACGTGTTCGTCCGGGAAGAGTCCGCATGACGTGGCGAACCATGTACAGAGAATCATGGCGGATACGTTAGGGTTCGAGTGCACTAACTTCACGAGGAAGGATAAGTATAGGATCCTCACTGGAGGTGATGGAACGGTGTCGTATTTGTCGTTTCAGGAACAAGCTAAAAAGTTCTTTAACACTTTCAATCCTTTTTCTCGCTAAATTTTAATTATTCATTTTCCAAGTCATTTTTTAATAGGGCCTCATGAATATTCTTATTAATTTGTACTGTATTTGCGGGTTTTTTTTTTTTTTTTTTTTTTTGTAAAAGTATTTGCGATTTTGGAGTAATAAAAATGGAAGGAATATTTGAGTGATTGCAAGAAATAGCAATTGTTTATGAGAACCGAACCAGCAATCGACGACATTTCAACGACTTGTCTATAACTATTTAAAGCTAGCCTTGAGTAACTGAAACTCAGAAGTTTGGTTGGTCCGAATAATAATTATATTAATGTCTTTTGTTTGAGAACATAATTTTTTAAGAAACCCTTGAAAATGAAACTACTATACAGAATAATGATTTAGGTTAAGTTTTCTAAGAAAATAAACATTATTATGAAAGGACATTTAAAATGACCTTCAGACAATACCACTTTGAATTAGAGTCAATCATATGTGTTTGGCGATTTTTGTTGAAGGATTTTCAGAGATTATAGTGTCGGTCTCTAAGAAAATCGGGCCATCTTATAAATATGAATATGTTTTGTTAGTTGCTTGACTGTTTTGTGTCTATTACTGATTTACAGTTTAAGCTCCTTCTTCTATAACCCCCTCTTAAATCTTATTTCTTTTAAGATTAGGATAACACGTATTATAAGCAAAATTTAATTCTTTTAGGATTTGAAATGATGGTTGCCTGTATTCCTTTTTGTTTCTTCTTTCTTTCCGTGTTTGATCTAATTTTTGTTGACTTTTATAGTGAATCAGAGTGTGATATTTTGAATTAAATATTCCAAGGTACCGACAGTGGAAGCTCTCCGGAATCTAGAAACTAGAAGCGACCGTCTCATTTGTATTATAGAACTAATTTTATGTTGTTTTTGGTAATCAAAAATATAGTCAATAATTTTATGTTACCCAACGATAATATATAGTATCAGTTTGTTCATGTAATTCCAAAGCCAAACAACTGTAAATTGAATTGAATAATAAAAAAAAAAAACGGTAGTTACACGGTTTATATTATAATGAAGAACGGAAGAAGTCAAAACTCACAAGTCAGACGTTCCTTTCCTTCGTTCACACACATATCTTCCACTTTGATTATTATTCGAGGAAAGTCCATTAAAATAAAAATGCACTAATTGTTGAATTAATATTACGGAAACTGAAATCTTTAAAAGCGCTTATAAAAATGCATAACGCATTTAAACTCCCACAAACAAAAAGAAGAGTATTTTTCAATTTTTTAAACAGACGAAGAGGAGAGAAAGAGGAAGAGGCGTTGTTGTTGTAAGCTTTAACCCAAAATCTCTCATTGACCTTTCCTTCTCCTTCTTCTTCTTCTCCAATCGCAGAGATTCCAGCATTCTCCTTGTGCTTGTGATCGGTTGAATAAGCTATACGCGTCGAATCTGTGTCCGAAGATCTCCTTCCCCAAAGGCGGAGAGATCGATTGGGCGTAATCCGTGGAGGTTTGTGTAGGGTTTTTGATTGATTTCAGTAGAAACGATCAGATCGGTGGGTTTCAGAGGATGAAGATGGCGGCCAATGGCCGGTTTTTCACAATCGGACTCGTCGCGTCGTGGTACTCGTCGAACATCGGAGTCCTGTTGCTTAACAAATACTTGCTGAGCAACTACGGCTTCAAGTACCCGATCTTCCTCACCATGTGCCACATGACGGCGTGTTCTCTCCTCAGCTACGTCGCTATCGCTTGGATGAAGATGGTCCCGATGCAAACCATCCGATCCCGAGTCCAGTTCCTTAAGATCGCAGCGCTGAGCCTCGTTTTCTGCGTGTCGGTGGTCTTCGGGAACATTTCCCTCCGGTTTCTTCCGGTTTCGTTTAACCAGGCGATCGGCGCCACGACGCCGTTTTTCACCGCCGTGTTCGCTTTTCTGATAACGAGCAAGAGGGAGGCTTGGTTGACTTACTTCACTCTCCTCCCCGTCGTTACCGGCGTTGTCATTGCCAGTGGGGTAAATCGCTTCTTCAAATTCAAATATGTGCTTCTGCCTTTGTACTTTTGATTTGGCTTATATGCAATGAGATTGGTGGTTCTGCTGCAAAAGTGTTGTTACGGCTGACGAAATTTGTATCTTTAGGGAGATAGAAATGTGAAAGTAGAAAAGGTTATGAGCTAAATCTGGTTGATTCGTTTCATATTTGGATGTTGATGTTTGAAGATGCTGAAATACTGTTAAGTCCATTACTTTATCTCAGTCACATCACAGTATGAACTTTATCTGCTGTGCACAAAAGGTTTAGTTAGAAGAGAAGTTGCTCTTTCTATGCGTTTGTATAGTTGTTGTCATACAGAGCTTCATTTTTCTATTTTGGCTTGACTCTTCTCTATCTGATTTGCCTCAATTTTCATGTATGGTTAGGGTGAGCCAAGTTTCCACTTGTTTGGATTCATAATGTGCATTGCAGCCACGGCTGCGAGAGCACTTAAATCAGTTCTTCAAGGAATTTTGCTATCTTCAGAAGGGTAAGACGCCAGATTTATCAGTTAAAGTTTCATCTTTCCAGAAGTCTGTATTGTTAAGAAGTGATGCTGAAACTATTTACTTGAAATTTGTTTGAAGGGAGAAGCTAAACTCCATGAACCTCCTCCTCTACATGGCTCCCATAGCTGTTGTGTTCCTTCTTCCTGCTACCCTTATCATGGAGAAGAACGTTGTTGGGATTACGATTGCACTTGCCAGAGACGATTTTAGAATCGTTTGGTATCTGCTATTCAATTCGGCGCTCGCTTATTTCGTGAACTTGACCAATTTCTTAGTCACGAAACACACCAGTGCTCTCACTCTTCAGGTAACCATCCAAAGCCATTCTGCGTGTGACCATCTCTTATAAGTTATTAAGTTAATGATGAACTTCTCTGTGACAGGTGCTAGGAAACGCAAAAGGAGCAGTAGCAGTGGTGGTTTCGATCCTAATATTCAAGAATCCAGTCTCAGTGACTGGAATGTTAGGTTACTCGCTCACGGTCTGTGGAGTTATCCTCTACAGCGAAGCCAAGAAACGAAGCAAATCATAGAAATCTTCTTCTTTTTTGTATTTGTTCGGTCCCTCGGGTAAAAATACAGGCAAGTTTCTTTTGCTGTGTGATACAAAAGGCCTTAGACAGCAGCAGCATCATTGGAACCAAAAGCAAAACATGTGTAAAGCAACAAACACCAAAGGATCAGAGTACCAACAGCAATCATTTAGAGGACTTCACAAATAAGTGATTTTTGTTTCCTTCTTTGTTCTTTTTGTTTGTTCTCTGGGTCTTAGGTTGTTCTAAGACTAACTTCGGTTTAGCTTTTTTTTGTCATATTCTTTACATGTAGTTTTGTGATATCAACATTTACAGCAACTGATTAATTAATGGAAAAGGAACAAGTTTTTTATTTTTTAACCGGCTGTGAAAATCCAACTTATGCTCTCGGTTTTACTGGACTATGATTAGAAGTCACAGGTTGGATTCATATATTCTTAAATAGAGCCATAGGTTGGGTGGTTAACTTGTTGCATTGTCAATTGGCCATAGATTTCTTCGACTAGAGAATTGACTAAAAGGGAGAGAGCAAAACAAAGAGCTAATAGAGACGACAAAATTAGTCATTCTTCTGTAACAATGTCTTGTCAAATCATAACATTTCAATATTTTCCAGAGAACATGAGAGCATACTTGACTATGATAATCCAATCACACAATCATAAAGGGTAATCCATAAATTGTTGTATATATTGTGCATGTATGCAAGAAAAGTGAGGTTTGAATAATTCTATCTCTGATTTGAAGTATGGTAATGTTAGATATAGTTTGGTGGTTAAATGGATATTCCCAGCATACAAAACCAAACTCTTAAATAATTAATGTTGTGTTTCTAAATTGATAAACTGTATTATTAGTCATTTTCTAAAAAGGTGGTACTTCACAACACTGTAACTTTTGTTTCTGGCAGAGTCAATCAAATGGTAATTGGTTTTGATGAAACCAATCTCACTTGTACATGTAATTAAAAAAAGTTGTGGTAAATCTAATTAAATTAAATACTACAAAATATTATAATATGTATCAAATTTGTTTTTCTACCACTAAGAAAATGACTAAAAACACTAAAAATGGCCATTATGATTTAAATAAATTGAAGACTAAATCTGTTCAACAAGCTTTTTGGTTAAAACTTGAAACCTGTTGTCAACGTTATAAAAAAATTACCAAATAAAGTGAACCGGGTTAACCGGTATATAATTGGGCCTATTATTCAGAGAAAAGCAAATGCAGAAAGCTCCGACCCGAGCGGCACAAACGCCAAAATCAGAGAAAGAGCGAGGCAAAATCGCGATCGGCTTCTTCAGCCACACCGCCACACTGTGGCCATCAGATCGCTCTCTCTAATTCCGGTAAACGTTTTACATTTTTTTTCTCTCTTCTTTATATTTTTTTTTTCTCCGGCCACACACATGAGTATTGTTCTCTGATGGCTCTCCATCGTTACGCGTTTAGTGTTTCGTGCGGTACCCAATTTCGCGATTTTCCTCCTCAAAGGAATAACCGCGAGTCTCGAAATGGGTTTCATTGGGGGTAAAATAGCAGTCGATCTAGTGTAAAGAGCTAACCCTAAATAGCATAATTGTCACATCACATGAATGAGCTCTCGATCTAGTCGTTTTTTCAAAATTCCCCTTTTGATATAGCTCAAATTCATTGTTATATAGCTCATGTTGATCTAAATTTCTCTCCTTTATAGTCTCGTGGATGTATTTGTTCAATTATGTTTGTGAAAAAATGTTAAATTTGCAATTGATGATTAACTCTTATACGTTTCCAAGTAAAGCAAATTCAGTTTAATTAATTTAATGTGATAATGAATCTATATGTGATCTTTGTTTTGGAAATGAAGTTATGTTTTGTTGGTTTGTATAGCGTAAAGAATGATGAAGTCGAAAGCCGAGTGGGAACCAGATTACCACAGAGTCTTTGTGGATTTATGCGTCGAGCAGAAGCTGGTTGGGAACAAACCTGGAACGCAGCACATACTGGAGCCTTTTCAGCAGACGACGGGTGCAAGATTCAACAAGAAGCAGCTAAAGAACCATTGGGACACAATGTGCAAGCAGTGGAAGATTTGGCGTAGGCTTGTTCAATGCCCTGACATGAAATGGGATCCTGAGACCAACACTTTTGGTGCCACTGATGAAGACTGGGGCAACTATTTACAGGTACACACAAAGAATTTGAGTGTTTCTTTTAAGGCTATGTATATGTGTGACATTGAATTTGGGTTTGTTGATAGGTGAATCCTGATGCTGGACAGTATCGGCTGAGTCCTCCAATGTATCTGAAGAAGCTAGAGATGATCTTTGAAGGTGTGAACATTGACGGTAGAGATAATGATGATGATGAAGGTGGTTCTAGTCAATACAAGAGGAAGAGAAGAAGCAGGCACCATGAAGGGGAAGAAGAAGAAGAAGAAGTAGCAGAGGAAGTTGATACTGGTGATGATATGCAAATAGCGTCTAACTTCTCGACTCCTCAGTCTAAAGGGTATTGGTCACCGGCCTCGCACGAGCTGTTTGTGGACTTGTTGGTGGAGGAGACTTATAAAGGAAACAGACCTGACACGCATTATCCAAAGGAGAGCTGGAGAGCGATGCTTGAGACTATCAATCAAAACAGTGGGAAAAACTACTCTAGAGCTCAGCTGAAAAACCACTGGGACTGCACGAGGAAGGCCTGGAAGATTTGGTGTCAAGTTGTTGGCTCTCCTATCATGAAATGGGATCCAAATTCTCGTACTTTCGGCGCAACAGAAGATGACTGGAAAAAATATTTAAGGGTAAGAAAAGCTGACCAAAATCTTGAATCGTTTGGTAAAGTTTGCAGCTTTGGTAGAAAGATTGAATCTTTTGTTGTTGGTTTACAGGAAAACCCTAGAGCTGCACAATTCAGGAGGAAGCATGTTCCTTGCGCAGACAAACTAGCAATCATCTTTGAAGGAGTGATTGAGCCAGGAAAAGCAGATTTCCGTCCTTACCGCAAGAAATTGCGAGATCATTCGGAATCGCCACAGCTACATGACCCGACTCCGTTATCAACACTCTACACAAACGAGCCACTCACAGGAAGTGAAGATGGAGGTGCTGATAATGATGATGATGATGATGAGAATGGTAATGGTGATGGTTATGGTGTTGGTGAGCCTTCTCATGCTCCGCATCGCAGTAGGTTAAATGGTGTTGGTTTTGCGGAGTCTCGGTTACAAGATGTTGAGATTGTGACTCCGATATGTACCCGGTTCGAGGCAGAGAGGATGAGGGAGACTCCGTTGAGTTTGCAGACGGTGTCGGGTAATAAGCAGTACGAGTACACTATTGGGGAGTGCATTGAGTGTTTGGACGCCATGGAGGAGCTTGAGCAAGGAGGTGATCTTTACTTGTTTGCGTTGGATTTGTTTCTGAAGAAAGAGTACAGAGAGATTTTCTTGCAGCTGAAGAAATCGAGTTTGAAAATGTCTTGGTTGCTAAGACTTCAATCTGGTACTTCTACAGTTCCTGCCTAAAGTCCTCTTATAATATCATGTCTCACTCTTTGTGATTAAGCAGAACTCTTTTATTTATCCTTTATCTGGCAAAACTCTTTTGTTTATCTTTTTATGAAAAAACTCTTTTATATACAGGAAGACGATTTTTTAAAACTTAATTTGTGGTAATATCTCTGCTTAAAGATTTAATGATTGTTGAAAATATTATAAGAACAAGGCATTTGTCTCTAGTTCAACAACCATTGAAACTTGAAAGCTACTCTTTAATTGTTGAAATTATAAACCCTCTATCAACTTGAATGGCAAGAAACAACTCTTGTCTCTACTGCATATAAGAAGTAAACTTCAAAGCATCTAGCTTTCACTTCTTTATGTAATTTTGAGAAGTCTACAAGATCAAATCATAGATCTACACAGCCTTCATTTATAACTTTATAGATTCGCCGTCACAATTTCAGTTCCAAGCAGAGGCTGAGAGAGAATGGCATCTTCTTTTTCTCGAATCATTCTTCTTCTTCTTGTGTTTCTCTATCTCTGCTATATTAGGCTGAGGCAAAGATACGTCGCTACAGTTTCAATGCAAGTGTTACCCATTTTGGAGGTTTCTTGAACAGCAAGTGACCCAACTAGTCTCCCATTTTTTTTATGAGACATTGAGCGGGTTGTAATGAAGAATATGACCAAGCTCTGTCCAACCAAACCAATAGTCACCGTTAACGGAAAATTCCCAGGACCAACTATAGACTATACGCAAGCGAAGACTGTAACATAATCGTTAACCTCACGAACAACGTTAATTACAATGTCACTATCCACTTGTAATTACAACTCAAAAGAGTGAAAGTGAGTCACTCATGAATTCAAGTTGTGTGCAACGAATATTGACTGATGATATTCTTGGGTGTTTTTAGGCATGGTGTGAAACAGCAAAGGACAGAAATTGAATTCAAGTTGTGTGCACCATGTTGGAGGTGCTCTTAGTTATGATTGGAACAGATATGGAGCACCAAAACTTACGTTAGTCAAAATGATAAAATCAGATCTTGTAACACAAACAAAAAAGAGATAAAATCCGATGTACTTATTGCTTAGTTGCTCTTGTTAAGATATGGTTTGGTAGACCTGTAAAACTGGTTGAGTTTATTGGATTTTTCTATTTGAGGAAACCAGTTTGTAACTTTTCTAAACATCAAACAAGTAAAAAAACTGATGGAGAGATAGTGGGATTTAATGGAGCTTTAGCTATAGAATTTGTGAAAAATATCTTCCACCGACATAGATATTAGAAAAACAGTCATCTCTTGTCTTGTCTATTTCAATATACAATACGTTTACTTGCTCGTTTCAAATATAAATCGAGATTAAAACTGAATCGAACGAAATTGGATTCAATTTTTTAAGTTGTCATTATACATACTCTTTAGTATATAGTGATGCAAAATCAAGTTCTCCCAAAGTTGAAACAACAAATCCTAGACCATATCCAAAAGTTAACTCTGTAAACTAAAAATAGTCTGAAAAAATATGAACGCGCCAGGTAGGGGTCGAACCTACGACCTTCTGCTTAGGAAACAGACGCTCTATCCACTGAGCTACAGGCGCTTTTGTGTTAACTATCTACTATAGTTATGAAATACTAATACTATATGAGTATATGGTAATTAAGTCAATCAACATAGTCAACTCGTGTGTGGACCAGAAAAAAAAAGACGATAGAATAAATTTGTCGTATTATTCGGAATGTTTTTTTATTAATAAAATCATTAAAAATCAATCATCTTTTCTGACAGAAATGAAGCGCAAGAATCCGACTAGTGCCATTCGCTTTTCTCCAATCCAAATACGCCAAATTTCCTTTCTTTTCTTACAAAAAGAAACCTTTCCTTCCTTCTCCTCAAGTGCCCTCAGTTTAACAGTGTCTCTCTTTATAATAACCCTTCTTTTAGCTTGTCCTTCACAATCTCTCTCTCTCTCTCTCACAACTGGATCTTCCTCAGTTCCTCTCTGCTTCGTCACAGCTTCATACCTGGTGGCTTTGCTGTTTTTGTCTTCCTTCGACGACCCACTTTTGCAGATTCTCATAGATTCTTCAAAGCTTGAGTCTTTTTCAGATTCGAGGAGGGTCGGTTTTATATGCTTCAAATCTCTCACCCAAATCAGGTTCTTGATTCCCTCAGTATATGATTCTTGATTTACCTTCCCTTTTGTCATTCTTTCCCCTTTGATTCCTAATATTTTATCATTAAATCCTATATATAAAAAGCTTCCATGTTTTCCTAATACATACCACAAATCAATCCTCAAGCTTCCACACACACACACACACAAATGGACTTTTTTGAGCTGTGTTTGTAGTTTTAACTTTTTCTTTCTTTGTTTTTAGCTATGGAGACTCTGCATCCACTCTCTCACGTGCCTATCTCCGACCACCGGTTCCTTGTTCAAGAGATGATGAGCTTACAAAGCTGGACTAAAGAAGAGAACAAGATGTTCGAACGAGCCCTTGCCATATACGCTGAAGACTCTCCCGATCGCTGGTTAAAAGTTGCTTCCATGATCCCTGGAAAGACTGTTTTGGATGTCATGAAGCAATACAGTAAGCTCGAAGAAGACGTTTTCGATATCGAAGCAGGACGTGTCCCCATTCCGGGTTACCCTGCAGCTTCTTCTCCTTCAGGTTTTGACTCGGACACGTGTCGGAAACGGTCTAACGGAGCCAGAGGACATGATCAAGACCGAAAGAAAGGAGTCCCTTGGACAGAGGAAGAACACAGGTGCAGAGATTCTTTGACCTCTAAAGGGTTTCTTTTGACACAAGTCACTAATTCCTAGGTTTCTTCTTATGCAAGTCATTCCCCTGTTAAGTAGGGTTTACATTGCTCTTGTTCTTGTACTCTGCAGGAGATTCTTGTTAGGGCTTCTCAAGTATGGGAAAGGAGACTGGAGAAACATATCTAGAAACTTCGTTGTGTCTAAGACGCCAACGCAAGTAGCGAGCCACGCCCAAAAGTATTACCAGAGACAGCTCTCCGGAGCCAAGGACAAACGCCGGCCGAGCATCCATGACATCACAACCATCAATCTTCTCAACGCCAATCTCAACCGTTCCTTTTCTGATCATAGTCATAGAGATGTCCTCCCGGATTTAGGGTTTATCGACAAAGATAATGCCGAGGATGGACTAATGTTTATGAGTCAGAATCTAGCTTCGGAAACACTGTTTTCTCCTTCATCACCTCCCTTCGATGCTGCCATTAACTTTGCCGAAGAAAATGCATTCGGTGCCAGAGCTTAATGTAACATATAATCACCAAACCGAAAGTTCTAAAGTCGTTGAGTTGTAAAACTGTAACTAGCATTACAAGCAAGTTTTTTAAATGTATTTTGTGTGGTTTAAAAGTGTAGACTTGTTTTCTTTACATGAATGTGACTGTGTATGTGTGTTTGTGTTTATGAAATCCCCTATTAAATTAGAATATGTATGTTTTCTTTTCCATTAATTTAGTTGTTAAAAAAGGCTTGTGCGTTCTGATGACATTTAACCACAAGTTTTTTTAATGAGTTCAATGCAACGATATCAAGAGCAAAGAGATCCAACATCACAAAAAATGAGAGATTTGGAATAAAAACACAAAAGTAAGAACTGAATTTCGACGCTTCCGTAATTGAACTAGATCAAAACTAAGTTGTAAGAACTTAAATTAGAAATCTAATTGGGAAAATTAATTATAGTAGATGATATGGTTGGAAATATATTGAGTGAGTGTAGGTGGAAGGTATGAACAATTGAATGTGTATATAATAGAGGCTGAGTCTGCTTTCCACTTCTGACCAAAGAATCTCATTCTTCTCATCCATTACACCAACCCCTTTGCCTCCCCAAATATACATATTCACTTATTTGCAATTAAATAATAAGATGGTGTCAATTTGGATACAGAAAAAAACTAATATGATTTGCAAAAATATATTGTTATGTACATTAGCTTAACATTAAGAAAACGATTTAAGTATTTTACAATACTCAATAATGTGAAAAGCCATTGAAATCAAAGGATGTTTTTGAGTGCTAGATAATCATTTAGAAATGATCAGGATTCCAGATCAAAGTTCATCATTGAAATGATCAAGATAACTAAATAAAATAACTGAAGTTAGCTACTTCATGTTAACATACTGTTCTTCTACAGTAATTTTTTTTTCTAAATGGCGATACCACGGAAAAGTTTTCAAAGTTCTAAAATAGACCACGTCTATAGTCTAGGGTTTCACAAATCATGATCTTACAATATAAAAACAAAAACAAAAAATAATTTAGCAGCTGATCTATCATAATTTATATTCAAAGAAATGGGATTGCTTGAGTGACCTATTTTAGATGAATCTTGATCATCAATCGTGATATGCTATTGTGATTAGGGGAGTCCTATTTCGGATAAAGTAAAGAGTAGTTTTTTCTTCTTTATTTCTTGCAACTTTATGGCTTTATTTCTTTTGCCACCCCCTTTTGTTATTTTGTCACTTTCGATCTGGTCGCCTCGATGGGATCTACATGCCTTACACTGATGTGCCAATATGAAAAAAACGTTCAATGTTCTTACGTCATACATGCATTACTATATACTATTCAGTATACACTATACACTATAGTATATATAATATTCGTGTCTATATATCCACTATTTGATGACTAAGATTTGCGATGCTGATAAGTGCTAACTTTGAGAACAACAAGAAGAAAAATAGAATATGGATTTAAAGTGAAATGACGATTGCTAGATCTTTGCAAAGTCACATGGACGACGGAATTTAAGAAACCATTAGATACAATAATCGTAATAGAGTTTTTCGTAAAAACTATATTTTTCTGTGAATGTCCAAGTATTCAAGATTATATTCTTGCATGCATACACTAGCTTGACTAAATAAATCAGTTTGATACATGTATTGCTTTTTCTGGATTATTAACTAGAGGAAAAATAATTATTGCATGTATTATACCGACATACAGACTACAGTATGCAGAAACGGCCTGCGTGAGTATTATAAAACCATGAAGAACATAGAAACAATTAAATAAGTACGAGAATCGTCGAGAAGCTTTGCGACCTAAGGCTAATCCTAATCATGAGCATATTAAACTGTATTATTCAACTATTTGATGCAAACGACAAACCTTGATTTATAATCTTTGTTGAATTGTTAATTCTAAAGTTGATTTAAATAAGGCCAATACTTATCAAGAAAAAGAAATGTTGTTCAAAAGTAGGCGCCTTAAAAAGCATATTGCGTAACAAAGCACGTTCTTAATTTCATACTTTCGTTTTTTTTGTTTTTCCGCTCATCATCATCATCATATATTCATATATCCTTTTCACGAAGCTTACGCCACTAGTGAACTTTTTTTCCTTCGAAGTACTTTTTTCCTTCTTCTTCTTCTTTTGTTTTTCCTCTATCAATGTGGACACTCTCGTTCACACTTCGTTTTAAATATTTTAATGACCCGGACCTCGACACATCCAGTGTACACGAATCTAATCTTGTGATTTTCTTCTATATTTAGTTGCAGTTTATACACGATATATCACTTTTCTTTTTACTTTTTTGGTTTTAATGTTTTACATATCTCAGTTTATATGACCGCGTCTTCCACATGTAAAAGAGAATATTAGAGATTCTGGTTGAATGTGTACTAATCGTGAAAGATGAGAGGTTCTTAATCAATAATTTTCAAAACCCTGATCAAGTAGTCCAGTTGATAACCGGATCCACCACATCTAAACCAAAACCCACAAGATCCCAATTCACTTCATTAGTCCCTCAACCACACAACAGAACGCCGCCTAGTGTAGCAAACAATTTCTGAAAACGGAGTCCGATGACTTTTACAACACTCAAAAGGAGCAGAACCTCCTGAAAATTTCGGCACATTGATCTGAAACTTACTTATATCATTTCTAAAGACAAGGAAATAACGAAAACTATAGCTAAGAAATCAAATGAAAGAAAGAAAAACCAAAATGTTTCGAAACAAAAAGGGACAACATATTGATACCATAACCGATTCTAGAAACAAAAGTAAGTAGAAGAAGATCATCGGAACGAGACCGAACCCGTTTGTCCCCGACCTCTTCACATGCAGAAAATGACGGAATGATCTACGATTAGAGAACCTCCCAAAGCTCGAAATTCTGGCTGCATTTAACTCCCCGTGATTGCGGGTATGGCAACAGGCTTTGAGTCCTCTGCTTTTTCATGTTCCTTGTTCAATAACTGAAACAAACAATCCAGAGATGAACAAACAAAATCGAAACCAAATTCAATCAATCAAGAGAGAAAAAGAGAGAGATGATCATCTGACCTTGTTGTTGATCAAATTGTGGAGGGCGATTACACTTCGGATGAGAGAAGAAAGGTAGATGACAAGCATCATGTCGTTTGTTTTCACTGCACGAAATGAATAAAGTTAGGAGAAAAATAATGCAAATGAGGGAACAACATAAAACTTCAAGGCGAAAAAGGCAAACCTGAAAAGGCCTTAACCAACTCGTTCACGTTCAAGTTAGGAAGCAAGTTGAATACGTCCTACAGATTATCAAAAGAGTGTCTAATGAGCTGAACAATCCTCAATAGGTAATAGCAGACCTAAATATAAGTTCTACTAGTCATCTAGAATTAAAAGGTGGGGAGTGTTCTCACCTGAAGATGGTATAAGATCTCATGGTTTAATGGGAGTTTTCCTTCGATTGCAAGGTCGAGGTAACTCCGGATCTCCCTAAGTCGTGCATCCAATCCCTTCAGAGCAGTAAGTTTCGCAGTGACCTAAAGTACAGTTCACAAATAATTCTAGTTTCCTTCAGCACACAGACAGATTTTCCTCAGATTTGATATTGAGAGAGTAACGATCATGATTTGAATAAACAGTAAAAAGCATGATAATGAAATGCTTAAGTTTTGTTTGAAGAATAGAACCTCAGTTGCGAGGGTACTGATGGTTGTGTCTTTTACGTCCCTGAGCAAATGCTCCACACCTGATCAAGAACAACCAATCAGGTAGGACTCCAATAAGTTTCTCAAACGAAATTATGAAAGAAACTAGTATTTTATGAACTAAAACTAGGAAAGCAAACAATCAAAGGATTTGTTTATTCCATGTGAACATACCAATTTCCTCGACTTCGTGAGCAGCAATTTCTGTAGGCACGTGTACAAACACTTGCTGGCTTTTCTGAGTAGCATTCTGCAGAGAAAAAAGTTTGGATCAAGGCGATTAGATATATGGATTTAACTACGTAAACAGCACGAATTCAGAGAGTAAACAAAGTATGTCAGATACAACCCAACAGTCAAGCAAGTGATATGGTTAGAAGAGGGCTAGTATTATACCTCCTTCACCTCCTCGACTGCATAGTATGCTTTTGTGGGGATTCCAAGTTCTTTAGGTTGGACATCAATAATGACCAACACTGGGTTTGGAACATAGCTGCAACACCAGAAACTAAGATCAAAACTCAAGAGTAACACAAATCATTAAACCATATATATATCTGATGTCACCGCCCAAAGAAAAAACAAAGACAATGAATGATTTTGCCTTAAGCCATGGTCCTACCCATTGAACAAAGCATGAACATCCAAATCATTCTGTCGTAGTTTAGGACCTGTGCTGTACCAACCCACAACATGCTCCTTGGCTGAAAGCAAAAATTCAACAAGTCAATGCGAGGTTTTTACACAAGAGTCGTATATACACTAAGCATCATTTTTCTTCCTGAGCTTTACCGTTAATTCTCTTGAACATGTGAAACATGGACTCGTGGTAATTGTGATCAAGAAACCAGATGCTTGGATCTTTGTCATCCTCCTCAAAAGGCACTGCAAACCAAGATATACAAAAGGTCAAGCAAGTGATGTGTAAGTAACAACGCCTCTATGAACACTGGAAATGTAATACACCATCGAATGACACTTAAACCCTTAAAATACTCATCACTCCGATATTGTATTAGAGCCATAAAGGATTAGAACCAAGTTCGACTGAAACTCAACTTGAGTGAATATCACTCAGTATCATACAATCAGCTTAGAGTACTCATTTGTGCAACCCAAATGCTACAAAATACCTCAATTTCAGTAACATATAAACCTTAAGTGTAAGTGAATTTCGCATAAGAACACTAAACATAGCGAATTTTGAAATAACATGAGCTCAATCAATTTCGGGATCTGAGCTAAACACTACGTAGTGAGATCGAAGAGAACAAAGCGAAAGGAAAAAACAAATTAGAGCACCTGCGTAGCTGTTGGTGACGTCGACGGTCCCACGTGAGCTACTTCCGAGCAAAACGCCGACGACTCGCTTCCGCGTGTCCTTGGCTACACGATTGTAATGGTCGACGATACTAAGCAAGACGAGTGGGTGAACGATCACTTTCTCGATCGTCCTCGCTGATATCTGCTGCGTCTTTATCACATCCATTGCTGAGGAGATTACAATTCGCTTGAAAATTTGAACTTCCGATTCCGTTTTCTCCGACGTAGCTTGAGTTTGCTTCTTCCCCAGGAAAAACTCTTTGATAAATTATCTTCTGGCTGTTTTATAAAGCTGAGTGGGTCCGTTAAACCAATTAATGGGCCTTTATTATAAAGCCCAATTATCTACTCAATAAAGTTTGAACGGAAACATTTTATTTATTTCAAAATTCCCAACATCCAATGGATTTAAACCAGTACTTATTTAGTCTCTTGGTTTATCTTATTGGACCGGTTTAGTTTGGTTTAACATTTTCAACTACTTTCCGATCAAAAATGTTTTTCCTACCATTATTGGAGTACAAAATAAATGCTTAGAGCCTTAAACACTATAGAAATATGCATTTAGTCAAAACCTAGTTCTTATTTGTTGTAGTTACTCGGACCAAAGACTAAAATATTCAAGTAAAAATTCTGTAAAGCCTCCCATGAAAAGTAATTAAAATGAACCAGCTTAGAGTTTTTTTTTCTGTCTATGTCATAATTCATACATTGGATATTTTGAGTAATATAATTCAAACTACATGAGATCTTGAAGTGTCTTCTTTTGTTTCTCGTGTTTTGAAGACAATATATAAGGTGTGAACACTAGCTAATTTAAAGAAAGCTTAGTCGAAGATCCAACGGCGATAGATGTTCCATCTCAGCTCCACATGATGAGTACGAAGAAAACGCCGTCGTATTAGTCTCTCGAATGTATTCACGTTGCTGGTTAATGCCTCTGCTTTTCATTTTCTTCACTTTGGAGTCTTCGAACGAATTCACGGGAAAGAGTTGTAACGTCTCTACTACTCTCTCTTCCTCTTCTTCGTTTACCTCAAAAACATCTACAATGAACACAATAGTCCTTACAAATTAAATACACTACATATCATGAAAAGTTCTAATATAAAAATAGCTAGCTAGAGAAAATCACAAAAAAAAATTATAATATATGCTCAAGATTACCTCTAGTTGATGGTTGACGAAAATGAAGATGATGATGATGATGAGAGATATGGTCATTTTCTTGATGATGATGATGAGAGATATGGTCATTTTCTTGATGATGATGATGATCAAAATCAATTGAGAGCTTACGGCGTTTGTTTCTTTCTCTAGCCTTATGGTTTTGGAACCAATAGAAAACGTTCTTGCTCTCGATCTTGCCGTAGAAACTGAGCTCCGTGGAGATTTTCTGAATATGGTCGGTGGTCGGAGTTCTAAGACCGGCTCTAAACAGATCCGTCAATATCTTCGACTGCTCCACTGTCGGATTCCATCTCCCACACTTCGTCCCCGTCCCTCCTCCTCCTCCGTTGTTGCCACGTATGCTCCGACCTTTCACGGAGAAAGACATTTTCAGATAAGTGTTTACGTTTTAAGGCTTGTACATGTCCATATATATGGAAATCTTGTAGTGGAGTAATTTATCATGGTATTGGCTTTTTAAGAAAGAAGATAAATGAATTATTAAATTGTCGGGAGGAGAGATTTTCGAGTTATGTGTCGTTTTATGATGAGTTGTTTATTACGAAATGCATGCTTTGTTTTTTTTTTCGGGATTCGGGAGAGACTGATTTTTGCAGATTTGATCATTTTTCTCTATCTAGGAGACTAGGATTCTCTATGTATATCATAGGCCATAATATAGATTTTTTTATCGGAAGTTCCGATTTGGAACCAACGGTTGGAATGTATTAAGGACTAAACATGACTCGTTCTTGACTAAAGGTGCATCAAATGAGAAACAATCAATAAATATAAGAGATCGGAAGATTGATAGGTTCACTGAACCAGAAATTTACGAAACAAATAAGAACATAAGATTTCGTTAATTATTATCTTAGTCGTGGTTGTTACTTGTTAGAGATCTAAAAATAAACATGACTTTTAGGGATGTAAATATGATAATAATTTATAACTAAAAACATGACGCTGTGTGAACATATTGACTCGGAAGTCACTTAGCTATAGTTTTGTATTTTGTTTTCCACTAAAGATTGTGACACTTCAATCTCACAAGTTGTTTAACGGTAGTTTTGTATTTTGTTTTACGCAAAAAGATGTGACACTTGAGGGAGTTTGGTCGGCAAGTGTAGACCATGGAGAAAATTCAAAAAAAAAATTATTTATATATATACAAGAAACTAATACAATTCTACAAATCACAAGTTTTATTGTTCATTAGTTTTTTTTATCACCAATTTTTGTCACGACTACAAAATATAATTTGTAAGGAAAATAGATATCCTCATCCTTAAATTCTATGAGTCTGAATTCGCTATCACAATAAGTTCTCTTTGTTGAAAAAGCATTAAGATAGCCTTTATCAAATAATTTCTCTCTTTTTATTTTATTTAAAAATTGTAATATGTTTGCATGATTCCCACAAGACACTTCTAACAAAATAGAAAAGGATAACTCGAACTAAACCGCATTTCGCTTATTTATATTCAAGTGTCCGTGAAAATGTATTAGTGGTAGCACGGGACACTAAGCAAGACGAAAATGGTCCAAGGACTAAAATGACAACGTGAATAAAACCAAACATTGTTTTTATAAACATACTCTTCACTAAACAACATAACAGTACTTACAAATATATTTGTCTCTCTCGCGTATAAATTGTTGCATTTTGTTTCTTAAATTGATCATTTCGGTGTCAAAGTCAAAGTTCACGTGGTTTATGTTACTTGGAATCATATCAGTTAATTTACATATTATATATCTTTTTAAACAAACATTAGCCCCAAACATATACGATTCGCAATTTGAATATCATATGAATTTCTTACCGGATATCTCCCCGACCAGTACACTTGACAAAAAAAAAAAAAACTTAATTGAACTGTTTTCTTTCTTTCAGCAACTTTTATCTGCGATATTCTAAAAATTGTTACGGTTCTTTTCTTTTATTTCTCAAATACTCCACAATCTCACAAGTTGTTTAACGGAGTACAACACAAGCGAGTTTTCGATAATTCTTCCTAAATTAGTTGTAACTAAAAAACAAAATAAAGCTTACAAAACCTTTTTATCAAGTTACTGAGGACTCGTTTTTTTTGTTTATCTTGAGATCTGAAGAATTGACTTTCAGTCTGGCTATAAACAGATTTTTACGTTCTAGAAGTCATGTTATGATAGCTACGTTCGATTCTTTTAGATACAGTTTGTAAAAGAACACAGCTTTTAATGATCCTCGGTAAACAGTTTGGTGTATACGGCTATCAGTTTGAATTATTTTAATTTGGTTCATAGAAACTCTATGATTAAGATTTGTGAGACAAAATGTAGGCATGCGCCCAATTACCGGATGTCGAAAAAGTTATCAGTTTCACATAAAAACAAAAGGTTTGCATGTCGTAGCTTTAATAGGGTTTTCAAAACTGTTGATAATTTGTTTTACTACTCCAGTAATGGAGTATTTAGTTGTATATGGCACTTATATAATGTTTTGAATTCATAATTTGCATAGTGTTTTGCTTTTTTTTTTTGCTTTTAACACAAGTCCGGTTTTCAAGTTTTGGGAACCTCAAAAGGCAAACTTGGTTTCTAATTTGAAGTTTCTTATATTAAAAACATAACATAAGAGAGAAATCCCTCAACCCGTTTGTCTAAGCCTTGATGGACAACACTCTTGATTTAAGTAACTACTGAAATAACTTTTCCAAAAAAAAGTTCAATTATTATATTAGTGAAAGAACAACTGCCAAATAATAGTCGAGAAATCAGTTCAACAAAGTACTCCAACTGACAACTGCCAAATAATGCTGATAAGTTCCAACACAAACAACTCCTTCTTCTTTGTCTTTCTGTAGATATCTAGAATCCATATTTTCCGAAAAGCTAGCTCTCATGAGTAGATGGGGAATGAAATGTGGTCAGCAAACACGCATACAACTTCCCGACATGACTGTGATCTTCAAAACATATATTGTCAGTTTCCATGGATTAACTTGAAAAGAGACGCCAAAATGTATATACGTTCTCAACTTATGATATTTTCATGAATCCCGAATCAAAATCTAGAGTTTCTGCACCATTTTTTTCATGGATGATTCTACAATATTTGGTTTCTTTATTCGAATTAGGAGGTTGTTTGAGGATCGGGTGAGATCGAAGCCACGAAGAGATTCAGCTAAGATAAGAAATAATCAACGCAACTCAAAAACAGAAACCTTTCCAGAAGCAAACATAACTGAGAATGAGATCAACATGTATTACAAACAACGCAACAGTCACAACCTCGTTAAAGAAAGCTAATGAACAAAAATCTACTCATCGTCGAACAAACCGAAACCACCATAGTCTTCTTCCTCTGATTCTTCAACCTCTTGCTTCTTCTCCTCTACCTTACCAGCTGGAGCACCACCACCACCTGCATCCGCAGACACCGCTGCTACAGCCACCGCAAACTTGCTAGGATCCTACATTGCCAAAAAGACTTATCATCATTAACAACAACACAAATACTCCAAAGCTTCAACATTATACAGCTCAACAAAACTAACCTTCAAGAACTCCTTGACCTTCTCTGCTTGAGGGAAAGTATACTCGGTAGCAACAGAAACAGCCAAGGCATTCTTGTACGCATTAATAAACATATGCGGCGCAGCAGCGAGTGTAGGGTAAGAGATAGCCAGAGCCAATGAAGTGACCATGGAGATACCAGCAGCAAACTTCTGAACAAGGTCATCTTCCGTAAGATCAAGAACCTCTGGACTGAAAACCGAGCCATTGTCGTAAACCGAAACAACAACTAGACCATACGAGAACGGCCTGATCCCGAGCTTGGCTAGAAGAGCGGCCTCAGAAGATCCGACCTTGTCACCTTGCTTGATGAGCTCCACAGGAGTGATAATCTCAACAGTTCCCTTGTTAATCTTAGTTGGGATGTTAAGCACCTAAAACATTTTCCAAAAACCGATTTCAGAACTATTATAACCTAAACCGGGTATGACCAAAACCAGTAGAGGATTACAATGAGCAAACCTGGAAGAAAGAGGTCTGGGATGGGTCGAGACCGGTGTTACCAGGTTGCACAACCACATCAATTGGAGCAACTAAACCCACACGAGCTGGAGCACCGACCTGTTCATAGGACGAGAGGCTTCAATTTCAATCCAATCACATTGAGAAATCATCAAAAATTTACACAATCCAATCCATTTCAATCCAATTCAAATTTACACTTCTCAGATTTGTGAGCAATTAACCAACCTTGTATTTGGCAACTTCCTCGCTCACTTCCTTGAGATCACCCTTAGTGAAGATCAAACCAACATTTCCCTATAACAAACGCAGAATCATCGCAAATTCGCAATTACAATCTGAAATCTCCACACGCGAAAACAAAATGCAGAACATTTTCGAGAAATCAACCTGAAGGAGGGGAAGCAGATTGAGGATTCCGGTGTTTCCGGTGTTCTCGGCGTGGATCTTAACGGAACGTTTCATCATAGTGTTCTTCCCCATGAGTACCACAGAGTCTCCGCGAAGACCCTTCCTGATGTTCTGGAGCTGAGTCGACCCGACGTTATCGGCCGCAACGACGAGGATCTGTGTGTATTCGTCGACGAGCTGGCATAGCTTCGCGTCATAAGCGATCTTCTTCTCCGCCTTCGTTGCCTTCACCATTGTCGCTCAAAAGGATTAAGCTCAAATGTTCCGAAGAGAGTTCGATGAATCGGCTAGAGGATCGAGCAAGCTAGGGTTTTGGTGGATCTAACAGTTAGTTTTCTCGATTGCTGATCTCGACGAATATGGGCTTTTCCCGCGAAATTGGGCCCAAATTGATAAGATAACATGCGTGGCGTGTTTTGTAAGACAAAAGGAACTTCGTGTCGTTCGGGTCGGCAAAACAACAGGGCGTTGGTCATTTCTTCTTCTTCTTCATCGGGAAGAGCGTAGAAATTAGAAACGCCACCGTGACGCTCATCGGACTTATCATTTTATCGGATTCTCTCCGATCATGTCGTCGAAGAAAGCGAAGACGAGAAACGAGGCAAGTAGCAGCCGTGGTGTCGTCGGCGGAGAGAGTATAGTCGCCGATTGTGGACGCAATATTAGCACTTGCGGTTACTGTAAATCCCCTACCAGCTCCAGTATCTCTCACGGTTCGTTGCCTCGCCAATGAATTGATCTGACTGTTAGATAAGTCGAATAAAATATTTGAAAATTTTGAATTTCCAATATTTTTACCGACTCGCAAACCATCATTGATACGTACTATAGTTATCGGAACGAGAAATATGTTACATTAGTGTGTTTCAACTACAGATTTGTGTGTGGCTCGAGATTTTTTTTTGCTATGATCATGTAAAATCAGAAATGTCCCATGATTTTGTATTGATAGCTCAGTGACTGTGTGCGTCATTTCCAATGCAGGTTTATGGACAGAGAGTCTCACCGTTAATGACTACCAAGGTTTGTCGCATCTCTCTCTCTCCTGTTCTTCTCTGCTCTTCTTCTAGAGATTTATAGGTTTGATATCTGCAAACCCAAAGTTGAAGTGAAGTTGTTGATGTGATGATTTAGCTTCTCTCCTCGATTTAAACTTCTTCATTCACAAGTCTGATTCATGTTTTCTATCCTGAGCTCTCTTTTTATATGTGTTTCCTTTTCTACTGAGTAGCTCTTCTTGACCGTGGATGGAGACGATCTGGTTGCTTCCTTTACAAACCTGAGATGGATAAAACATGTTGCCCTTCTTATACTATCCGCTTGAAAGCAAGTGCTTTTGTTCCTTCTAAAGAGCAGCAGCGAGTGCGTAGAAGACTAGAAAGGTATGAATAGAAAGTTTTACCAAAGATTTTTTGTTTGTTTTTTTCAATTTTGAGACAAAAACTTTTCATTTGCCCTCAAATATCTTGTCAAAATTGTGCACTTTCTCTCTCGACCAATCTACTGTCAAATTTTTATAGCACTCTCAGAATGGGAACCTTCCCTTCATCATTTTTGTAACTGTTTTTGTGATGCTGTGTGAAAAGGTTCTTGGATGGAGAATTAGATTTGAAGCCAATGGAACGGACAGAAGATCAAGACGTTTCTTTCTCCGGTCAAGTTTCAGAGTCGGTGAGAAAAACACTTCGAGAACAAAAGAATGAAGTGGAACCAGTCATGAAATATCTGTCTGAACAAATTGATAATGCTGTACAAAGATGCATACAAAATGGGGAGTTTCCTTCTAATATTCAGATTCCCAAAGCTTCAGTAAAGAAAGTTGTCTCTGCTAAAAGGAAGAAGCTAGCTGAAGGGTCAGAAGAACTCTTATACACCAGCAACATTGCTTTTCCAATAGCAGCTGCTGTAAAACACACACAGACATCTCATAAAGGTGAGAGAAACAACAACGTAGAAGAAAGCAGAGTATCACCAGAGACTGTTTCCGAGAAGCTGTTAACTGCAGTGAATAAGGCTGGAGAATCTACTGGTTTTTCTGTTAAGGTCTGCAAAGGCCATATCAACTTCTTTTCAGCTACCCAAGTTACTTCCTCGGATAGAGATGAAGGTGAAAGCTTCTCTGCTACAACAACAAAGTCTTCCTCGAACAATCTTCATTTAAGAAAGCGGAAGCTGGAGATGCACTTGAAAAGGTCGAGTTTTGATTCAGAGGAATATGAATTATACAGACGGTATCAACTGAGAGTGCACGACGATAAGCCGGAGAGCATCTCCGAAACTTCATACAAAAGGTTTTTGGTTGACACTCCGTTGATTGAAGTGCTCTCTTCACGTGATGGTGATGATGGAAAGGTTCCTCCTTGTGGCTTTGGTTCTTTCCATCAACAGTACAGAGTCGATGACCGTCTAATAGCTGTCGGGGTGATAGACATTCTTCCTAAATGCTTGTCTAGTAAATACCTATTTTGGGATCCGGATTACGCGTCCTTGTCTCTTGGAAACTACTCAGCCTTGCAAGAAATCGATTGGGTGAAACAAAACCAAGCTCATTGCTCCACTCTGGAGTATTACTATCTTGGCTATTACATACATTCCTGCAACAAGATGAGATATAAAGCAGCCTATCGTCCTTCAGAGCTTCTATGTCCTCTCCGTTACCAGTAAGTTACATAAACTAAGACATAAGATCAAATTCTTTTTACTTGTTATCATTTGAGAGAGAATCCAAATGTGTTATTTTTTCTTCTATTGTGTTCTCAGATGGGTTCCATTCGAAGTAGCCAAGCCTCTGCTTGATAAAAAGCCATATTCTGTCTTGTCAAATATCACTAAAGCTTCTCTATCATCATCATCATCATCATCATTACGTCAAGCTTCTGAACATGAAGACATGAAACAAGGGGATGCAAATGGTGATGAAGAAATGTGTAATTCTGATGAAGACTCAGACTCAGACTCTAGTAGAAACTGCAGTGACATTACCAATATCACTATCAGTCTTGATGGACGTCGACTTCGATACAAGGTAAAATATTCAGTATCACTAGATTCACTACCGTTACTCTCTGCTGTTTCTTTTCAGATCATCAAAGTTAAAACAAAGTTAAAACAAAATTTTGTTTTTTGAAGGATTTACCACGGATCAACAATCCGGCAGTTCGGAAACAACTGGAGTCGATGTTGGTTAATTACCGGAAAGTGGTCGGAGCTGAGCTGTCAGAGAGAATGGTATATGAACTCCGGTAACATCAAGCTTGATTCAAATCAAGTAAAACCATTCTGTAACAATTATAACAGCAATAGTATACCATTAAGTCTCTGTGCTGTCATGTTTCTCCATCTTATGATTACAGAAATCCAACATTTTCGACCAGTTTTTATGATATTCCCTTAATCCATGATAAATCACACGAAAGATGGGTTCAGATTCTAACCGAAACGAACCAAACCAAACTGAACCAATCCGAGCATACGAGAACAACTTTGGTACAGAGTAATGTTATGATTAAACCGAATGTGCACTACTTACAAACTTAATTAAAGATAATGAGAGATCTCTAACTGTATGTGTTCCACAAGAAGTTGGAACACAAAACAATTGATCTCTGAAGGTATCCTAATGCACAATCGATGGTTCACAAAATGACACAAAAAATGACAAAAAAAAAAAAATTGAAAAGAATGGAAGAAAGATGAAAGAGTAAGGAGAGACTGTACAAATGAGATATAAGAAATATTGAGAGCATCAAGCTTCATCAGTATCACTTTCTTCGGCTTCAACTTCTTGAGCCACCCAGTAGTTGTTCCCATCTGGACCCCAAACCTTGTACCTGCCAACAATATATCAAACTAAATTCATCATCTCAGCTCAAAAAAAATCTCTCAAAACAAAATAAACAGCGGTTAAGATCAATCAATTACTGGCCTTTCGAGAACCGATTTTCCTTCCTTGTACTTTTGGTTCTTCTCAAAAGCAACCTCCTATTTAACGAAAAGAAACAACCAAGAAACATTAGATCAGCAAAGCAAGAGCTAAACGCAGAACCTCCTCCAAGAAACAAACATTTGAAGTTGTCTTACATATCTCCATCCAACATAAGAGCCGCATTTGACACAGTAAATATCGACGACGGTGTGCATCCCCGTCATCATCATCCTATCTTCCTTCTTCCCAGGATACACATTCACTCTGTTCACACAAAAATCCAATATCCGTGACAATGCATAAACAATTCCTATCCATAAAAAAAAACATTTTCCCAAAGGATCTTCGAGTTTTTTCGTAATCTGGCTAGCTAAAAACCCAAAACAAACTTGAGGAAGAAAGCTTACACTTTACTGAAGAGGTAAGCTTTCCCATGCCGGCTCTGAAAAGACTGCCAGCAGACAAACACAAAGATGTAGTCAGTTTCTTCTATATATGCCACAATGTATCAGTAAACTAATCGATTGCATTAAGCATATAACCGCAATCAAAATCCAAGATATGACACAGCTTAGGCACAAAATTGAATAATTTTATACGTGAAGAGAATGCAGAACAGTCTCGAGATCACATAGCCATATCAAGAGGAGAGAAAGAGTCTAGCAATGTTTTAAGCATAGATTTTGATATAATTTCCAACATTGAAGAGCTTAAAAAAACTAAACAATCGAGATGCGATGAGAATGCAAGACAATCTTCAAATGAAACTATCCCCAATTCTCGTTTCCATGATTTGAGAGCTTTGATCATGGAGATTCCAGATTATCTTATCATCAAAAGGCACAGTCAATGCAATGCAAGAAACAAATGTGATTTTTTCCCCAATCAATTTAGATCATAGTCATCAAAATACAATCGTAGTGAGAAGTAACCACACATGATGATTTGGGTATGATCAGAGATATAATCGCAATAACCCAGATTAAGATTTAACAGCAAAATCTCAGTTAAGTATCAAAATAAACCCAGAAAAAAAAAACTCAGATTCAGAACCTTAGAGACGACATCTTCGCAGAGGGCGAGATTAGTCTTGCAGTGCCTACAACTGTAAGATTTCTCTTCCAAATTCACCAGGAACAATCTCCCCATCTGTATCAGTTCCCCAGAATCGGCTCAAAAGTAAAAATCTACTTGTGGAGAAAAAGGAAAATAAAGACGATCGTTACAAAATCAAGCAGATTGTGATAAAATGGGAGATCATTAATTAACGGAAGAAGGGGCCTTAGGATAATCTACCGATTTTGGACGGAAGAAGGAAAAAATGTTTTAAAATGGAGAAAATTCAGAGTGTTGCTCTTTGACGATATTAAAGAAGAAAAATAAGGAAGTAATGCACACCTTTTGTAGAAACGTGGACCTGACAAAGTCTTGGCCTTGGAATATACGGAAACTATTTTTATTTTATGCGAATTACGAAGACACTTCTTTATATATTTTGGTTTCATATTGCTACTAGATTAATGGAGTGTACGTGATTGCTTCTTATCCTTGTTCATACTAATCGACTGTCAAATATGTTAATTGTTTGGACATGGACCAAAAAGTTTGTGTTATTTCATTTTCCCAATTTAATTACATACAAAACCAAACCCTCTGGGTGATAAAGAGTCTTTAGTAAAGTCGCGAATCTTCTCCGTCCTAAGCCGCAAAGTTGCCTCCGAGAGAAGAGCCAAAGCCGCGTCTTTCTCCTTCGTTTGCTTCTGGTTCGTCGAAGTTAAATCTAAGCTCTTATTTTCATTTGGACGCCGGAGACGTCAACGAGGACTTGAGCAAGGCGGAAATATTCCGACTTCTGTGAATACCTTCACAAACCTGCATAAAAGGCGGAAAAAGGTAACAAACCGTGTAGTTTCCCTTTGGTGACATAGAAAATAGCTGGTGATATCGATTTTAGTCTCTTCTACGTCTCGTCGATTCATCTCTAGTTTACGTTGTTGTTCATCAAATAAGCTATCTGGGAATATACGGTTCTTATATATGCTGCAGGATAGTTGTTCGATGAATTGCCTGAATGAATTAAAAGTAGTGAATATAGTGGAATTTAGTGACGGCTTATCGATTGTTTCGTTTTGGTTTAGGATATCTAGATTTTGAACCTTGTGTGATTACTTCAATTCGGCTATGGCTGCACCCAACGTTCGTAGTAGCAGCTTCTCTCGCAACGTAGCAGTTGTGTCATCGCCTCAAATACCTGGTCTCAAATGCGGTCCAAATGGCACAACTTTTATATCAACCGGGATCCGTGATCTTGACAGTGAGATTTCTCTCTCCTTCTTATTCCACATGTCAAGTTCTACATGAGAATGAGAGACTTTGATTTTAGTGCTAAAAAAGGATTGTCTTTTAATTGTTTATCAGGGATACTAGGTGGTGGGTATCCTTTGGGAAGCTTAGTAATGGTGATGGAAGATCCTGAAGCACCGCATCATATGGATCTGTTAAGGACTTTCATGTCTCAGGGGCTTGTTAACAATCAACCTCTTCTTTATGCTAGTGCTTCGAAAGATCCTAAGGGGTTTCTCGGTACTTTACCAAATCCTGGATCATCCAAAGAGGATAAGCCTACTGCGCCGGACCTTGACCAGGTGCTTCTTTCTTCTTCGTACCCTCTTTTCGTTTGTTTGGTTTTTTTACCTGGCATGAGATGAAGAAAATTAGTTACAAGTTTGGTAGTGTGCACTGTTGTCAATATTGTAGGCAGAGAGCTTGAGGATTGCTTGGCAGTATCGGAAGTATATGGAAAACCAGAAGAATTCTATTGGTAATTGAGCTAGTCCGGTTATATAGTCTCATGCGTGTCATTCATGAATAGTTATTGAGCTACTATACTAGTAAGCTAATATCATTTTGTGGAAACATAATCCATTTTTTATGTAATTGTGGAGCAGATGACTACTCCAATGACTTTGATATGAGAAAGCCCTTGGAGAGGCAATTTCTTGCCGGACGGCCGATAGATTGTGTCAGTCTGTTAGATTCTTCTGATCTTTCCGTTGCTCAGGACCACTGCGCTACATTTTTATCAAAATTTCTGAGGTTGTGTGGCATCCCTTTCTTATTTGATGGTCAATTGCTTCTCTCTAGTTTATAATTTACAGCATTTCTTAGTACAGTTCCATATCTACGCAGCAAAATATGCCACGGTTTATTTTTTAGACATCTCTCCTGTACTTTAAATGTGCTACTATATTGGGAGGGACTTAGATAGTTAAATGATCCTAATTTAAAGATTATAGAGTGTGCAACCAATAGTTTTATCCTCGGATGCTGTTCTAGTTCGTCACATTTTTTTGTGTGGCTCTGTTAAGAATCTTATCATTTTTTATTAAGAACTTGTGTCATAATTTCCACAGAAACAGCAGTAACATTGCATCCATTGGCCGCATCGCAATCCAGTCGTTCTGCTCTCCCCTGTGTGAGTATTCTGAAAAGGTAGAGCTCTCTGTAACTTCTACATTATCTTCGTTCATTAAAGTGTAGATTTACTTTCTAACCAAAAGGTTGTTTTGTATTATTGTGTTGCTTTTTGAATTATTGTTTCTGCCAACACAGGAATCAGAGATGCTTTTGTTCATAAGATTGCTGAAAAGTATGCTGATGGTTTCAAATGCCGTGGCCATTGTTACTTTCCCGCCTTCCATGCTCTCCCCGTCTACCTCGAAAAGACTGCAGCACATGGCGGATACCTTACTCTCTATCAAAGCCATCCCAGATGGTGACAAGGAATTGGAGAAACTTCTCACTGGCTACAAGGACATAAATGGATTCCTCAACGTACACAAAGTCGCACGTATCAACACACAGGTATTCACAAATTGTATCTCTCAATATAGCCAAAACCTGTTAGCAAATACGTTCAAAACCCTTTTGTCTTTTTCTCTTTTGTGGCATGAACTTTCTTACAATGAACTTTGGTCCTAAAACATTGATTCTGTCTGGAATTGTTTCCAATGTAAACAGGTGCCGGTGATTCTTGAGGCGAAGACCTTCTCAATGAGCTTGAAGAAGAGAAGATTCGTGGCTCTAGAGTGTCTGAATCAAGCCCCTGTAGATGGGTCCAGTGGAACATCTTATGGCACATCCGGGAGCTGCTCAGGATCATCCAATTCCGGTGCACTCGATTTTTGAGTTGCTGAGTTAGTTTTTCCTTTTCTTCTTCTTCTAAGCTTCTCTGTTTCCTTTACTATTCTGATTTCGCTCTCATTAGAGTGTTTGGTCTTGAAAACATTTTTGATAATTGTTGAAAAAAGAATGCAACAGTGTTCCAATCTTTTAAGTAACAAAAAGGTGAAATCTACTGTATTTTATTTCAGCTGAGCAAGTGAGCATTACTATATTTTCTGAAACTTTGACCAATAGTAAATGCTAAGTACTACTTCCAGGTTCTATATACAATACGCAACTTACTACTAGTACACATATAATAACGTGATTATATAAGAAATGAGCTGGGGGCATTGAATAAGTGTTAAATAATGTGGTTGATCTATATTTGTTGCTCCTTTACTTACCAACCAACATTTGAATTATTGCTCATTAATCTCTCTCTACCCGTACTCTTCATTGTCTTCCCATAGACTCCTTTTTTCAAACACACACATATATATATATATATATATATATATATATACAAGAAAAACCATAAACTTTATACTATATCTTAATATAAATCATACTAGATTTTGTTTGAGAAACAAAAAGAGAAACAAGCATTTAGATTTTAGAAACAGATCCTTAAAAAAGGAAATAGCAAGTAGCACACGTCATGATTTGGTGAGGCTTTTGTTACGTTTGTTTTTTTTTGTTATTGTTTGTTAAATCTTATTTTCTGTTATCTTTCAAATAATAAAAACGAGAAGCTCGTGCATTTAATCTCGCACCTTACGCCCACAAGAGTGAGAGAGATAGAGAGAGAGATAGATAGATCGCTCAGGCTTTTTGATTTTTCCTCTCACCGGCCGGTTTCGTTTCGCGGCGGAGAAAGAACGGCCAGCTTCAGCTCCGAAAACAGAGGAATAGAGACAATGGTTGGACCTTCGCGGCCTCAGATCGTTTTGTTTGGATCCTCCATCGTCCAGATGAGCTTCGGCCATGGAGGTTGGGGCGCCATTCTCTCCGAGGTCTACGCTCGTAAGGTATCGTCGATTTCCATCAATCTCTGCGATCACTCTCTGTAACTTCCGTTTGATTAGTAAATTCGCTGGTTTCAGAGAAATCTTAATCGGATCGCCTTTGTTATATTACAATTAGTGATTACTGTTTGTTTATCCCCTAATTATGCCTTTGTTATTTGAAATCTGTCTTCGTTACTCTGAATTTGAAGCGTTGATTCTGGGAAAAAACTCATGAGTTTTCTTCAACGTTATTCTGTTATTTCTCCATTTGATTGAATGTTTGGTTGTCTCTCTCTTTGTTATGGTATCAATGTGAAAGAGGAAAGTAGGCTTTACTCTAGGGAAGATATTGTCTTGGTCAGTGGGAATGGTATTCCAAAAGAAAATGCATTTAATGCAAAAAAACTAAATTTGGTGAGATCTAGAGGAGACGTGGAGGAATTTAATGTTGAGGTTCTTTGAGCAAAAACATGTGACTGTTAGTTGTCAAAAAAAAAAAAAAATCATGTGACTGTTCGTTCTCTTTTGTCAACAACGTGTATAGGCCGACATTATTCTAAGAGGATATTATGGATGGAACTCAAGTCGTGCTTTGGAGGTTGTGGAGAAAGTGTTCCCCAAGGTACTCTCTTCAATGGTTTTTTTGCTTCTTCTCGGTAGAGAAATGCATATGTAGACTATTCGTTTCTTTATACTATGATAGCTTCAGTATACGATGTGTGCATGAATCATTTTGCCTACGAAGAGTATTTGATTAGTTCAGAATTACTTGCATTTGTTGACAGTGAGATGTCTCTTGTTTGCCTGGTTTGGGTCTTCTTGGTTGTTAAGCTGTTTCCTCTGGTTTTAAAATGGCTGAATTGTTCTTGTAATGTACGTATCACTGAAAATTTGGAGCTCAAGTTTGTTAAGAACTAGTATAATCTTACAATGCTTCTGTTTTCTTCTTCATTGTAACTTTTTTTTAACATTTGCAGGATGCTGCGGTACAACCTTCTCTGGTAGTTGTTTACTTTGGAGGAAACGACTCTATGGCGCCTCATTCTTCTGCTCTAGGACCTCACGTGCCATTAACTGAGTACGTTGAAAACATGAAGAAGATCGCTCGTCATCTTCAGGTTACTTCCTTTACAGATATTCATGTATCTATTCTTCTAATTTCTGTCATTTTTAAAAGCCTTTTCAAGTGGTTATTTCTTTCCTTTGATGACTTGGACTAAAAGGCTTATCTTCTGTGTTATGTTTCATCAGAGCCTTTCAGAGTCAACCCGTATCATATTTCTTAGTTGCCCTCCAGTGGACGAGGCCAAAGTTCGTCAGAACCAAAGGTGACTTTTTCTCCACCACTACCATCATCTCTCTGTTTGCTCCTCATTGGCTCCACACTTACTAAAATTTCTTTCCTTCTTTCTCTCACAAGCCCATACTTGAGCGAGGTGATTCGAACAAACGAGCTCTGCAAGTCTTATTCAGACGCTTGTGTTGAGCTGTGCCAAGAGCTCGGCTTACAAGTCGTTGATCTCTTCTCTGCTCTTCAGAAAGCTGATGACTGGGAAACCGTTTGCTTCACGTAAGTATCCCAAACTTAGAATAACTTTGAGCTCTGAAGAAATAAACATAGATCTTGCAGTGGACTAATGGAGTCTGGTTTTCTCTTACTTTACAGAGATGGGATTCATTTGTCAGCACAAGGAAGCAAACTGGTGGCGGCTGAGATACTGAGAGTGGTTAAAGAAGCTGAGTGGAAACCGTCGCTACACTGGAAATCGATGCCAACCGAATTCGCAGAGGACTCTCCTTTTGATCTCGTTTCAGCTGATGGCAAAACGACGGTAAACTCTGCCGAATGGACTTATTTCTGGGAAGAACAATGGGAGTGAACACATTTTCCAAGTCACAGAACAACAAACAAACAAAACAAACAAGACCTTTATATAAATTTATTACAAGTTGCCTTTGCCCTGTTTTCGACGATTGTTTTACAAGTGTAATCTGACTTTTCCTTCTGATAACGCTGTTATTTCATAATTTACAAGAATCAAATCTTGAACACTTGAACCAAAGACTCAATGTTTGTCTTCAACTAGTATGTATTACTCATTTAAGTGTGGACCTTTAGAGACATTAAACAAAAGTCTTGAAACGCACATCAAGGTAGTTTCTTGACTTTGTTCACCTCTCTCTTCACTTGAAGCAAATGGGCCTAAATCAAAATTAGATATTCAAACATTGAGCCCAATAAGGGCCCAATACAAGTAGCCTTTACCTAAAGCGACGTATCTTCAATTACCAAACCTTTTCGCTGACGCAACCAAACTCCCAAAAATTAATAAATTAATTAATTGTTTTTTTTCTTTCTCCTCTCTCTCTCTCTCTTTCTTCTTCTTCTCCCGTCTGCTCCTCCTTTCTCTTTCCATCTTCTTCCAAACTCTCTCTCTATCTCATTCTCTCTCTCCCTCTCTCTCTCTCCATGTCCGAACGCATCGGGTCTCAGAAACAATTGTTGCAGACCTCGATCTTTCTCCACTAGCAACTGATCTATACGTACACGCACCGTATATACGATCTCAAGTACTCGTATCTGTACAGCTATGGCCGCCGTTTCCTCTAACCCTCGCACCGTCGAAGAGATCTTCAAGGATTATACCGCTCGTCGCTCCGCTCTTCTTCGCGCTCTCACTAAAGGTCTCAACCAAATCTCACCTCTCTCTCTCTCGAAATTTCCTAGATTTCTTCTTAATGCCTTTGGCTTCTCCTTAACCTGTTCCTCTTTGTTCTTCGCTTTTTTTCTCCAGATGTTGATGATTTCTACTCTCAATGCGATCCGGGTAAGACGGATTTTTCCTTTTTGTTCTGGGATTTAAGAGACCCAATTTTTCTCAAATTTTGGGGAGATTTGATTCGATTCGATTCGATTCGTGTGGCTGATTTCGAATTGATGTTTGTGTTTGTGTAGAGAAGGAGAATTTGTGTTTGTACGGACACCCAAATGAGTCGTGGGAAGTGAATCTACCAGCGGAGGAAGTTCCTCCGGAGCTTCCCGAGCCTGCGCTTGGTATCAATTTCGCTAGAGATGGTATGCAGAGGAAAGATTGGCTCTCTCTGGTTGCTGTTCACAGTGATTGTTGGTTGCTCTCTGTTTCTTTCTACTTTGGTGCTCGCCTTAATCGCAATGAAAGGTATTTTCTCGAGAAAACCCCTTTTGACTAGTTGTTTTAGCTTTCTCAAAGCTTGCACCTTTACTTGATTTCGATGGATTTTGTTTTTCATCTTCCTGTTATGTTTCTTGGTTCTGACTTGAAGCAATTCCAAGGATGAAATGTATAGTGAAAAATGTTGAATTTTTATGTGATAATGATGAGTTTCTTTGAAATGAGATTGTCACTGGCTGAATGACGATTTTTTTGCTTTGATGTGTGTGAAACTTTGTCTCCTTCTTGAGCTATGTTTTCATTCGGCTCTACTCATATCTGTGGACTTGTTAGTATTCCATGACCTGTCTAAAGTTCGTTTTTTGTGTGTGTGAAAACATCTGTCTTTTCATAGCTCTTTCTGGCATCTATGGATATTGTGAAGGCTAAAACTTAACACATGATTTTACAACCCTGTTGTTTGATATCCTGTGGAAGTTGTTACTTCTGGCCAATTCTCTTAGTGACTACTAAAATGACAGTTTTTTCTTAGTGTGAAACAGCATCTGTCTTAACTTTTCTCAGCTCTTTCTGGTATATATGCAAACATGATTTTTTCATTTTCATTACTTTAGTACTCTCCCTGATTTTAAAAGCCTTTTGTTTGATATCCTATGACATGACATTAGAAAACCGATATCCTGTGGAAGCATGTGATGAATTTCACCATTTCATTCCTCTTAGTAACTATTAAAGTGATTGGGATCACTAGAACTCTGCTGAGAAAAGGATTTGTGAGAGTTGCATATTATAACTTGTACAGTATAATACAATCTTATTTGTGGCTGTTCTTCTTTAAGCCAAGATGTTGTGGCATTTAGATAGGTGCCAGTTATAGGTCTAAGAAACTGGACTTTGTTTTAGCTCATCAGTAGTTTTAGTATACATTCAGGTCTCTTAAGTTATGGCTTCTCTACCATTTTTCGTCCACCTTTCTTATTTTCAGTAGACTTGTATAAAGCACGTTGTAGATTTTATCCCTGAGGATGGAGATTTTAAACCTACATAACTACAATCATGTAATACTAGATAAACATCACAGAGATTCGAAACTGCTTTACTTATATGAAGATTCTGGATTATTGTACTTGTAGCTTCTCTCATCTGTCTTATAGATTATTGTCCTCTCATGTCCACAAACTCATAATGTCAATTTGCAGGAAGCGGCTATTCAGTCTTATCAACGATCTTCCGACTCTTTTCGATGTAGTGACTGGTAGGAAACCCATCAAAGATAACAAGCCAAGCTCTGATTCCGGAAGCAAATCTAGAAACGGCACTAAGGTATGATGGATAAAAAGAGATTCCTTTCTCTTCTTGTTTTGTGTGTAGTTTTTGGGGTTTCTCTGCTTGAAAAAAACAAATACGTGTTTGTTGCAGAGATCAGTGGAAGGGCAGACAAAGAGCACAACACCAAAACTGATGGAAGAGAGCTATGAAGAGGAAGAAGAAGAAGACGAGCATGGAGACACTCTCTGTGGAACCTGTGCAGGCAACTACACAACTGATGAGTTCTGGATTTGCTGCGATGTATGTGAACGTTGGTATCACGGGAAATGCGTGAAGATCACACCGGCCAAAGCAGAGAGCATCAAGCAGTATAAATGCCCGTCTTGCTGTGCAAAGAAAGGAAGACAGTGATGATCATCATCATCAGTCAATCTCTCAAAGATTCTGGTTCTCATGTCTTAATCGATCTATTAATCAACCTTTTTCTTCTTCTCTTTTTCTTTTCTTATGTTTTTGTTTCTTTAACCTTTTAACTTTCAAAGCATACAAAACTTTCTCTTAAGATCTCCAGAAAGGGATTTCAAGAAGTTGAGAGAGAGTAGCAACTGTTTGGGTATTATCATTATTATTCTTATAAAAAAACTGGTTTGTTCCGTTAAATGTATTGAACTGTATTTTGCACTTTACAATGGGATCCCAATTTGAGATGAATGAAGTTTGAGGGGAAAAAAATGTACAGTAGTACGTAGTTGTAGGAATAAAGGTTGGTAAAATAATAATCAATCGTGCATGTATGAAGGCTCACCAGTCACCACATTAAACAAATCTTGGTTTTGGATGTTGAAAGTGTTATCTAATCTTAATCTCCGTCCAAATCCTATACTATATTATAAAGAACTTAAATCGGATCTAACAAGATTTTACTAACACGAATTATTATCAGTTATATACACATAGACTAAAGTAATGTGTGTAGCATCAATTATATAAGCTGCGTTCATATGTCGCTTAGTAGGTTAGTTGCTTAATCAAGACATGAAAAGCTAGTACTAATAAGCTCTCCATTATTATTGTTGTTACTAATAATAGATAAGAATTCGAAGGGATGATTGTTGGTTAGCATCCTTCAGCCATCACGGAATCAGCATAACATCAAGTGATAGTGAGGTTTAACAATTATACTAGTTATCTAGTTTCTTATAATTAAATTATCGCGTGCTCTCAATCAAGGTTTACGAATACAACAATAGATTTTATCATTTTGACATATAATTATTCCTCAGCACTAAAAAGGAATTGGGGTAATTGTTGTTTGAACTTTGAAGGAGAAGATTAAGTATGCCGCGGAGGCAGTACTTGCTAGCCCCAATGCCAGAGACATGATCGGAGAAATCGAAAACCGATCGGTTTATCTCCTAGCGGTAAAAATTCTCTTCAAACCGGCTCATGTGTGGGGAAATTTTGTGACGGTCGGTCAATTTTTGACCCAATGTCTTTTTAATAACTCGTTTATTTACTGCCTTTTTAGAGATAAAAGTGAAAGAAAGAAAAACAATGGAGGAGCATCCCTAATTTCATTCTTCGCCGCCGCTATGTCAACCCCCGATGATGGATCTCCCGTCGCCATGGCCATCGACTCTTCCACCGCCGTCACCGTCGCCACCACCACGACTAGGAGAGTTCCGCCTCCGTGCTGGACCGACGAGGAGACCGCCGCGCTTGTCGATGCCTACAAGGACAAGTGGTTCGCCCTCCGCCGCGGAAACCTCCGTGCGGCTGATTGGGACGACGTCGCCGCCGCTGTTTCTTCCTCATCCACCATGGGAGGTCCGCCTAAGTCAGCCATCCAATGCAGGCACAAGATCGAGAAGCTTCGGAAACGATATCGCGGCGAGAAGCAACGCTCTCTTAACCGACCAGGCAAGTTCTCCTCCTCTTGGGATCTGTTCCACGTACTGGATGCCATGGGTTTCGCTCCGGTGACTCCGGCGGCCGTCGAGCCTTACGATCCGGATATGGATCATGACGAGAGTAGCGGTTTGGATGGATTTAGGGCTAGATCGAAGAGGTCTGGAAAATTCGGTTATTCGGATTCGCCTCGAGACGGATTTGGGGTTAGATCTAGGGCAAAGAGTCAGATGAAAATGTACGGTGGTTTCAAGCCGGAGTTCGATTCAGATCACGATTCAGGAGGTGGGTTTGGATTGAAGAGGAAATTCAATGGAAATCGTGCTGATTTCGATGCCGACTCGGAAGATGAGATTGTGTTGATCCCGAGGTCATCTAGGATGAAGAAGACTCACGGCAAGCCTTCCTCAGGCGATTTTAGTGGTGGGTTCCCGTTGAAGTCCTTTGGCGATCGGAATTTCAGTAAAGCTGAAGCCAATTTCTCCCCGGAGCTGGATTACGATGATGAGTTTGATGATGATAGAGCCGAGAGGGAAGGGTTCCACCCGAGAATTCAAAACTCTAGGAGCTCCTCGCGGGCCAACGGCTACAGCAGAAAGGACGGGAGCGGGAGCTATCCCAGGAACACTGGTGTCTCCAATGGCTATGGATCGTCGTCTAGGTTCAAGCAGGAGCAGATGAATGCAGCAGATGCTGTTGAGTCTGACCCGATTGATGAAGTTGTTTCTTCGGTGAAGATGTTGACAGAGATGTTTGTGAGGGTGGAGAATTCGAAGATGGAGATGATGAGGGAGATGGAGAAGACGAGAATGGAGATGGAGCTAAAGCATTGCCAGATGATGCTCCAGTCACAGCAGCAGATCCTAGGCGCGTTTGCTGAAGCGTTGAGCGAGAAAAAGAGCACAAACGCAAGGAGGCCTGTTTCGTAGAGTTCATAGTATGGATTTGATATGGTGTAATGGTCAAATAGCTTTCGAGTCTTGTACCAAAGTGTCTTCTTCTTCAAGTTACTGGGAACTGAAATGGCAGTGAAATTATGTGCGAGTAAATGACACTTGAGGTTTTTGTTGTTGGCAATTTTGATACATTTGGTATGATGAAGTTTGTGTTTATAGGAGGATAACGAAAAACAATGGAGCATATGTTTCATGACCCTTAATGTTTTAATGACATTGTTAGACAAACAAAAAGTAAGAGAAAACTTGGCGAAGAAACTTTTCTTCCTAGAATTTGCTCAATACGTTCCAAAGTTGTTTTTCCCGCGGTTGGTATCAATTTCACTAGAGGTGGTATGCAGAGGAAAGATTGGCTTTCTCTGGTTGCTGTTCATAGTGATTGTTGGTTGCTCTCTGTTTCTTTCTACTTTGGTGCTCGCCTTAATCGCAATGAGAGGTATTTTTTTTCCGAGAAAAACCCCTTTTGACTAGTTTTAGCTTTCTCAATGGTAGATTTTATGAAGCCAAAGCTTGCACCTTCAAAAAACGATATCCTGTTGAAGGTGTTACATCTGGCCAATACTCTTAGTGACTACTAAACCATTGACTGGAATCAAGTAAAATGACTGTTTTTTCTTAGTGTGCGACAGCATCTGTCTTAACTTTTCTCTGCTCTTTCTGGCATATATGGATGTTGTAAGGGCTAGAACTTAAAACATGAGTTTTTGGTTATCATTACTTTATTACTCTCCCTGATTTAAAAAGCCTTTTGTTTTGATATCCTATGACATGACATTATAAAACCGATGTCCTGTGGAAGCATGTGATGAATTCCACCATTTCATTGTTACATCTGGTCATTTCTCTCAGTAACTATTAAAGTGATTGGGATCCCTAGAACTCTGCTGAAAAAAGGATATGTGAGAGTTGCATATTGGTTGTCATACTCGGATAACTTGTATAATACAATTTTATTTTTGGCTGTTCTGTTCTTCTTTAAGAGAGAAGTTGTTTTGGCATTTAGATAGGTGTCAGTTATAGGTCCAAGAAACTGTACTTTGCTTTAGCTCACCAGTTGTTTCAGTATGCATTCAGGTCTCTTAAGTTATGGCTTCTCTACTATTTTCGTCCACCTTTCTTATTTTCAGTAGACTTGTAGATTTTATCCCTGAAGATGGAGGATTTTAAACCTACATAGCTACAAACGTGCATAAACATCACAGAGATTCACAACTGCGTTGCTTATATGAAGCCAGAGAAATGCGTGAAGATCACTCCGGCCAAAGCAGAGAGCATCAAGCAGTATAAATGCCCGTCTTGCTGTGCAAAGAAAGGAAGACTGTTCAACTTTTTCTTCTCTTCTTTTTCTCTTTCTGTTTTTGTTTCTTTAACTTTTAACTTTCAAAGCATACAAAAACTCTCTCTTCAGATCTCCAGAAAGGGATTTCAATAATTTGAGAGAGAGTAGCAACTGTTTGGGTATTATCATTATTCATATAAGAAAAATGTTCCGTTAAATGTGTCATGTGGTTTGTGTATGTAGCTTTGAACTGTATTTTGCACTTTATATTCAATCTTTTCTTAGGTCTGTTATCTATGTTAAGATAAATTTAAATTCTGAGATGTCAAAGCGGATCATCAGTCAATGGGATCGTAATTTGAGATGAATGAAGAAGTTTGAGGGAAAACAATGTAGTACGTAGTTGTAGGAATAAAAGGTTGGTAACATGATAAATTCCAATGAAACAGAGGGAAAAAAAAGAAAAAAAAAGAAGAAAACATAATAAAATCCAAAAATAAGCGGGAACAAATGTAGGAAAAAGGTATTTCAAAAGCTTTTGCTAACAAAAGAGAAAGATGTCAACATTACATCGAAAAAGTGTAAACAAAGAACAAGTTGAAGAAGGAGAAGAAGACGACGAATCTTCGATTTGGTTGGTTTACTATGAACCGTTTGATGTGACGCTCTTGTGGAATCTTTCCGGTTTAGGAAAAACCATTTGTGCTGGCAAGTACAATGTATATATATATTTCCCATAATGTTAATTGTTAAACCAAAATTTATAAAAGAAAAAAACTATTTGTGCTGGCCATGTACTGTGCATATTTGTTTCCATCTAAATCATATTAAAGAAAATCAAATTCTATAGAAGGGAAATCCATTTTGTGCTGACCATGTAAAGTAAATACTTTTTTTCCATCTAAAATCATATTATGCTAACTTTTTGAAATATATTTCGTTGAGGAAAAACCAATTTTGCTGGTTATGTCTGTAATATATTTTTCCATCTAAATCATATTATGCTAAATCAATTTTTATAACATTTTGACATCTTTCCGGTTAATAAAAAATTATTTGTGCTAGCCAGGTACTGTATGTTTTTTAATATCAACTTTAATGAATAAAGTCGATTGATAATAATGCAAGGATGGTTAGAATTCTAGCTCTTCCAGAGTGGTATCTCACTGATGGCTCCCCTACCATATAAATCATATCATGCTAAACCAAAATTTATAACAAGAGCACAAATTTTGGTTATACAGTGCATCCAGTTATATTGTGAGTTTTCATTTAAAATAAATAAATAGATAGCCAAATGGCCAATGGCTTGATTTTCCGATTATGAAGATGATTCTTTAAACATGTTCGTAAAATAACGAGAGAACATAAAATGAAATAGTATAATCAGGATCTTGAAAAATACTAGAGAAATAAGTTGCTCGTTGTGCGAATTTAAAACTATATGATAATTTTATTAAATTTTCTTTATTTTTTTTTTAATTATTGAAAAATATAATATCCTAACTCGCTTAGATATTTAAAAATATTGTTGGAAATTTTATTCATCATAGTATTTCGCACATACAACACTAATGATATTTATAATATACTAGATTAGGTCCTGTGTATTCGCATGATTTATAATTTAATGTTGTAAGTATTGTAGAAAAAAATACAGAAAAATAAAAATGAAATTTCATCCCTTTTAAAAAATAAGTAAAATAGGAAAACTGCACCATTAGAAATCATTTTTTAAAAATATGTTTTATTTTCTAAATTTAATAACTGAATTAGAGTCATAATTCAAAGAAAGTTAGTTCAAAAACACGTTAGAGAAACAAATTGCTCCTCGATTCATCTTAATCACAACGGGTGTCATAATCCGAACGATAATTTTTATCCTTTATTATACGATATATTTTTTAAATTATCTTTTTATTTTTTCATAAAGATTAACCTTTTTATAAATATTTGATTTCTTTTTTCCTACTGTTGATTATACTTTCTTCTGATTTTTATTTTCAACAAATAACATCATGTTGCTCCATTTTTTCTAATATTCATTGTTTTTTTTCTGATTTTTTTTCCTTCTTTTTTACATAAGGATAAATATCTTATTACCTTTCTATCTATTTTTATTGGTCCTCAATTCACCGCTTGTTATAATCATTCTGATATTTTCATCCTTTGTAACACGATAATTTTTTTGAATTATCTTTTTATTTTTCAATAGAGATTAACCTTTCTATAATTATTTTTTTCTTTGTTTCCTATTGTTGATCTAATTTTTTCTATTTTTTTATTGTTTTCAAGTAATTAACATTTTTTTTCATTTTTCCATAAGAATTAGGTTTTTTTTTTAATTATTTATTTTCCTTTTATCTGATATTCCTTGTTCTTTCTTATGAATTTTGTTGTTTCATTTTCCATTTATTTTCCTTTTTCCATAGGGATTAACATTTTATTTTTTATTTTTTTGTCAATTTTTTAATTAGCAAATTTTATTATTTTCTTTAATGACACATGTCACGATCTTAATACATTCAATACTAATAATGACACACGTTGCGATCTAATGAATTATAAAAATTATACATGTCGCAATCATGTTGCGCGCATCCAGCTTTATATAATAAGATTTTTATATAAGAGGTAACTCCACATTTCATCTCCCCTTTCTCTTCCCAAAAATTTAGTATGCTTTAAATATTCCATTTGTTCAGTACATTAAACTATAAACATTTGACTCAATGTAAAATTCTTAAATGTGTTTGTAGAATCACATTTTCACTCAGAATATGGTACAACATATTCGTTACTTTTTGTTTGTGGTAGTATTTGAGCACATGACCATTGATTCTTTAATTTATTACCGTTTTAGTTTTGTGAATATAGATTGTATCTTTTCAACATACATTCCATAATACTTAAAATAAACTTCTTGACCTGATTTCGCATTAGCTTCTAACTATCTTTTTTTGGTAGTGGCGGAGTTCATCATTTATATGTTGAGACCGAGGAGGCTCCTAAGTCCTAACATAACTCAAAACATTTACATGAGCAACACATTGGTCTCTTTAAAGCTCGTAGGACTCGAGACTCCAAAGTGTGTTGTGTCTCTCTACCTTGTCTTAAGATCATGCATATTAATTATAATTCTACTATATAGCTTTTTCAACAAAATGTTTAATTTTCTTAATTGCCCTCAAATGATGAAATAAGAACAAAAAAAAAAAAATAAGGAGGGTAATTAAGAAAATGATAAATTTTACTAGTATTTTTCTTGTGTACTTATAAAAGGAATCTTTCTTTTTTTGGTAAAAATCATAAAAGGAATCGTATCTATAATTTGTTGACTGTGTTACTCTGAATGTTTGGACATGTTTCTCGGTTGTCATTTTTTTTTTTTTTGAACCAAGACTTTCTTTTTGTCTGTCACTTTGCTCATCCTTGAACCATAACTTCAACAACAATCCGACGACGACGAACGGTGAGTTTCTTCATACTCAGATAAATATATATATCTCTATTTCAATCTCCTCTCTCTCGTTTGCATGTATATGTACTATGTGATTTTTAATCAATAGGGAACCTGGGGTTTTCAGATCCAATCTGTTTTTTTTTTTTTTTTTTTTTCAAATGAAATGATTGTTTTTGAAACTTTAGGGTTAGGTTGCTCCTCATGGGCGGTTTGGATAGAATCAGCGATTTA